ATTCACATACATATCTATATATCTATATATCTATATATCTACATATAAAGCCTACATAAGCATCCCTGCTTCTATTTGTGTGTGGTTGTGAGCATGCATAATTGTATAAGGCTTCTCTAATAGAACATTTAATCGTAACTGTGAAGCAGCAGAGACCCGACCCCCAAGACCAGAGGCAGACGAAAAAAGGGGGACCAGAGCCCAAGACCCCAGGAGGGACCCGGACCGCGGAGCCCCCAGGGCCACCCACACAGGACGAACCACTCACCCACCCCCCAGAACGGACCACAGGGGAGAACCGGAAGATCCCCACCAACGACCACATACAGTGACCCCCCGGGGCCAACAGCGACAAACTCATAGGCCTCCGTCGGAACCCGCCGCACCGATGTAGGTCCAGGTCCGGGCACCGAGGCCCGGGCACCGAGGACTCACACCACCCAGGCCAAGGCCCGACAGGGCCAGAGGACCCGAGCCCCACCAGGCAGACACCAGGCCGAGCTGACACACGCCCAAGCGCTCAGCCCCCGACACCAAGGGCCCCAAGCGCGCCGGCAGGCAAGGGCACACCCCACCAGGGGGCCGCACGATAGGGGCGCGATGCCAAGCACCCCCAGTTGTATCAAAGAAACATTTAATTTTAAATCACTTGGATGACCCGTTTGTAGTAAAATAAAAAGTATTTTTGTTCATAAAGTAGGAAATAAAACAATAAATTAATGATCTGTGGTAATTAAATACAAGATTTTTAAAGTACACTTGGAATATTCAATCATAAAATTAATTGATTTAAAAAATACAGCAAAGAAAAACTCAGTCAGCATGAAATAACCTGGAAAATGAATGCGGGTCATTTTTGACCCATGTTGTGCATTAGAAGGGGTGTGCATATGTTGTGCATCAAAGGATTTTATTAAGGAAAAGTAAAACTGAGACACACCTTTGCTATAATTTCGAGCAAACAAATAATTGTTTTTAGGTGGTTATCTTGTTAAATTGACTTTAATGGTCAAATCAGCTGCATTTCGCCTGGGTGGCGCGGCGAAATGCAGCTGATTTGACGATTTCTCCAGTAGTTCTGGAGCGAGACGAAGGTGGCCCTGTATGGCAAGCCAAGTGTCTCATTAATAGCCACTTTTCCCTATTAATGAGACACTTGCCTTGCCATATTAGTCAAGTGCCCTCTAGTGGCTGAAAATTTTAGTGTTCAATATTTTCTATTTCAGAATGAATGAAATTGTCAGATCTCAGCCAGAAATTGGGTTATAAAGATGAAAAAAAACATAAATAAGTTGCTTTGCTGTATAAATCGCAGGCATGCTAATTTATACAAAAATGTGCAACTTATACAGTGAAAAATATGGTACTCATTCTCACTTGCACCTAGGGACAATTTAACGTTACCAATCAGCCTAACATGCATATTTTTGGTCTGTGGGTGGAAACTGGAGTATCCAGAGAAACCCACGCCTTCACGGAGAGAACATGTAAACTCCATGCAGAATGGTCCACTGGCCGGCATTCAATCTGAATATTCTTGCTGGGGGACAACAGCTCTACCAGCTGCACCACCTTGCTGCTGCACAGCTGGCAATTTCCTCAAATGTTCTTTATGTTTCATATTGACAGAAATGTCATGAGTTTAAATTGTTGTGGCACTTCTGAAGCAGAGTTCTTCAAAAGAACTGCAGGTTTTATACTTGATTGACTAGGAGAGCAGCTGTGAGAACATCTATCCATCCATCCATTATCTTTACCCGCTTATTCCATTTTGGGTCACGGGGGTCGCCGGTGCCCATGTCCAGCAATCACTGTGCGAGGGGTGGGGTACACCCTGGACGGGTCGCAAGTCCATCACAGGGCCACATAGAGACAAACGAGACAAACAACCATTCACTCTCTCACTCACACCTAGGGACAATTTAGAGTTACCAATCAGCCTAACATGCATGTTTTTGGTCTGTGGGAGGAAACCGGAGCACCCGGAGAAAACCCACGCATGCACGGAGAGAACATGCAAACTCCACCCAGAAAGGCCCCTGGACCGGGGTTTGAACCAAGGACCTGCTCGCTGAGAGGCAGCAGCTCTACCAGTTGCGCCACTGTGCTGCCCAGCTGTGAGGACATATGAAATATAATTTTTATTTTTAATTTAAATTTTTATAATTTTTCACTATTAAAGCACATTGTGCTTAATTTTCTAATGTTACCCATGGGTATTTAATGAAACAAAACAGTGTTAAACTTCCATTTCAATCCAAAGGCCTTCAAAAACTTGACTTTTTAATTCACTTTCAGCCGGATTTAGATCAATCACATTGCTTTTTTATTTATTTATTTACATTTTGTTTAGGCTTTTTCCCAATCCCCAAAGAAGAACTGCTGAGGGAAACAAACAAGTTATGATGATGATGACACTGGAGAGTAAACTGTCATTCCACGTTGCCTTGAGATGTACTATATTTAAGTCTTCATGCAGAGGCGTCTTTCTACATTGGAAGGTTGTGGAAGGTTCTGGTTTGAAAATGACAGATGCTAATTTTTTGCAGCCTTTTGTTTGTTCAAGCAGATAAATGGCAGCTAACATCTCTGTGGCTGGTGGTTTCCTGCTGCGACAGATCAACTACCAGATTATTATTGTACAGATCCTGGTTATTATTTTCCTGTGGGTCAACATGTTGCTCATTGTCACCTTTTTTAAAAAGGAATGCTTTTACGCGAGTGCTCGGTACATCTTGTTTGCTGTGATGCTGCTGTCTGACAGTATGGTGCTGATTGTATCCGATGTTCTGCTCATTTTAAGCTATTTTCAGTTGACTGTGCATGTCTGGTTGTGCACCATTATCTCTGCAGTTACACTTATTTACGCTCATGTCACACCGGTTACTCTGACAGCAATGACTCTGGAGCGCTACGCAGCCATTTGCATGCCCCTGCGTCATGCAGAGCTGTGCTCCACACGCAGAGTTATGTTCTTCATCCTCGTCATCCACGGCATCAGCTCCGGCCCGTGCGTGGTCATTCTCTCCATGTTTTTTGCCTCAGCCTCTCTCAGCTTTTACAAACAAAGCATGATCTGTTCAGCGGAGCGTTTTCTCTTCCAGACATGGCAGCAGCATCTCTGGTATGCTGTGAGTCAGATATACTTCCTCATCATGTGCATCATCCTCGTTTTTTGTTATGAGAGGATCATGAAAGTGGCCAAAGCAGCATCTTTGGAGAATAAACTGTCCACTCAGAAGGGGCTCCGCACGGTGCTGCTGCACGCTTTCCAGCTGCTGCTCTGTCTCATCCAGCTGTGGTGCCCTTTCATCGAAGCTGCCGTGTTTCAAATTGATTTGAACTTATTTTCACGAGTCAGATACTTCAACTACATCATGTTTAGCCTCGCTCCCAGATGTCTGAGTCCTCTCATTTATGGACTCAGAGATGAAACGTTCTTTCTTGCACTAAAAAACTACACCTGCTTTAGTTTAAGTAAAAGAAGCATCTTCTAAATTAGATTTTAAGAGGCACGTGTAAACTTTTCTACTTTTTTCATGATATTAGACTGTGCTTGAAAATATAGTTTTCATTATTGTTTTTAGAGCAGTCAGTAAAAACACCAGAGGTGGTTCATCTAGAGTAGATGTGTTACCTGCACTGACATAAGTATTGCTCAAAAATTAGATGGGAAATTATGTGATCACAAAACTACGTTGTTTAAAAAGTGGCATACATGTACAAAAAATACATTTATAACAACATTGTTATGTCTTTGTGAGCACAAACCTGATCGAAAACACTTCAGGAATATTAGATTTGAAATCATCAGAAGAATATTAGTCAATATTTAAATTTCCCAAATAATTTATTTGATTAAATTCATCCTGTCTTTTTTTGTTTGTTTGTTTAATGAAGAAAATTAGAAAACTAAAATCAAACATCATGCTTTAATCATTTCCACATGCAGAAATAAAATTATCCTTTAATCCGTTCATATGTTCATAACAAGATGTGTAATTGTAAATAAATTGTTCAAATTGTTGTTTTTAGAGCTTAAAGTGATTCTATTTCAGATTTCATCTCAGATTTGCTGTGAGTTTTGTTTGTTTGATTATTCTTGGATAGCGTTTAAAACTATAAAAAGTAGTTTATGTTGCCCAAACAAAAGTGATTTTTTAGAATCAGTCTGAAATTTTATCATTTGATCAACCAAAGTGTTTATTCTCATGTATCAGATGAGATCATCATCATGTCTTTGGGTGCACATACCTGCTCAAAAACATTTCTTACATCACAGAAATGTTGAGTTTATGTAAACATACTTATTTCAGATTGTGCTTTTTAGTTTGGTAAATGATAATAAATAAATGCATCCATCAGTTCTCAAATATGAAATATCTCCTGTCAGTTTGTGGGGAGCATTTATGTTGATTAAGCAAACTTGTTAATTAAAGCTATTGTCCGAAAATCAGATGTTTTTCGTAAAAAAAAAAAAAAAAAAATCTGCTTTGTAATTAATTTAATCCTGTTGACTTTTCAGCTGTCTCACACCAAGATTATATTAGTAATTAGGAGTATTATACCCAGATATAAGATAATGTTTAAAAAGGCATCAAATAGTTTTTCACCACCTTTTAACCACGGATTCTTTTTGCTTCATAGGTTTTTATTATTATTTTACACAACCAGTGGAAAAAAAACAATACATAGAATAGCAATAAATTCTTTGTTACAGCAAACATCACATTCTTATCAGAAACTCTACAACATGTCAGTGAAGAGCTGCTGAAGGTTTAATAAGCCCACAATTATTAATCATACCGTCAAACCTTAAAGTGCTATTTGGTCATTTTATTATTAACAATTTTTTGTGTGTTTTGTTTCACAAAGGTGAACAGTTTGTGGAATTGTACGGGCTCAAAACAAGTGGGAAAACAAGCCCTGTGAGTAGGTCAAAGTTTTCACAGAAAATCAATTGCACTTTGACATCGTTTCCTGCTTCTCCCTCTGTTTGTCTCAGTCCTCTCGTAGATACGCCTCGTGCACCTCGTGCTCGTCGCCTTCTTCTAAAAACGCAGTGTACTCCGCCATTCGCTGGATCTCCTCCACCTTGGTTTCAGCCAGTTTCTTATCGGCCTCCGCTGATAGTTTCCTTGCGTCCTCCACCTGCGACTGAGCCACCTGAACATTTGTTCGGACCAAGATGGACGCCTGGTGGGCTCCTGAATACAAGCAAATGCAGAAATACACCTTTTTAAAAAAAAAATCTAATGAATAACCAAGTCGTTTCAAATTACACTAGCCTTAATTATGAGCCTAAAGCAAAAAGGTTTAATGAGAAAAGTGTCTCACCGGAGGTGTACGCTGCCTCTGCTGCCATCTTAGACAGGTTGACGGCGTTGATCCAGGTTGTCTCGTAGTGTTTGCATTCGTTCAGTCTCTCAGCAGCCTGTCAGGAGGAGGAAAACAGTTGCTTTTAGTACAACAGATAAACAAATAAGACTAACTTTTACAAGTTGGGCCTGAAATATATTCAGAATCTCTGTTTTCAGTGCACAATCACCTCTGCACGCCAGCTGCTGATGGCCTGTCGTAGTGATTCCTCCTCCGCTGGGCTCATCTTTCCCAGTGAGACCAGGTATTTTCTTTGGAAGGCGATGCGTGAGTGGACAGCCTGTAGGTAAACGGATGGAGAGTGAACATTCAAGACTTTCTTTTCACTTATTTGTGTGGTCATCTTAGCATATCTCCTGTAGGTGAAAATCCTACCTTTGAATAGTCCGTCAGAGCGTCAGTGAGGGCCAAGGTGGCCTGAGAGAGGAGGGTGCTCGAGCTGTCCGTCAGCACCGAGGCGGCTCTCCTGAGCAGTGCATCGTGTGACAGATCCTCCACTTGCTACAGATAAAAGAGAACATCTCCGTTTTAACTCGTTTTATAATTGAAGGGCGCGTTGAATACAGTAGTGATTTTCTGTCATGGTTTGAAATAAGAGACTGACCCAAAGGCCGTGGCCGATACTTAGACAGGCTAAGCTCATGTGTGCAGGGTTTGTCAGCTCTCCAGGCTTCTGGACTCCGGACCTCCTTCGCTCAGAGCTGCAGCAGAAACAAACACAACACGCAGTCAGAAATTTACAGTGGGAAACAACGACCGACTGCTTAAAACAATGTGAAACAAAAGGCGAGGTTTGCTCTTTAACCGGAAACTGTTGGTTGTTAACTCACCTGAGGGAGCGGGCGCAGGCTGCTCTTCTTCTCAGCAGTGAATTGTCCGTTTGATTGCGCTGAAGTCCTCCAGCGGCTCGTCTCGCACAAGCAGAACACTGACGAACGGCTTGCATTTTGCAGGTCCAACGGCTCTCTGCACTGACAAACAGGTCAAGTTTCTTGAGCTGTGCTTTTCTAATGGCAGGTTCTTGTGATCGTTCTAAACCTCGGCCGTCAGCTCGTCTCTGTAGAGTGGTTCTTGTTCTCAGCCAGATGCTTGGATCCTGTTCAGTGATGGCCACAGTTACCTCCTGCAGCTATTTGTAAGGCCTCAGCCCCTGTGTTCATTACGTAAAAGGTATTGATCTGTTGACGCTGCCCGAAAATGTGCGTATATGGTGTTATCTGTAACGTTCCACTGATACGTGCAGGTTAGAGAGGCTGATGATGACCAGTTTGGTCTGTTCTCGTTCTCTGTGTACAGAAGATAAATTATCAGTAGGCTTTTCTTTAGAGAGCTTTAGAACAAAAAAGTCCTCTTGATAATGTCATTAAATTAGCAGTTTGAGCCTAAACTAACGATCAGCGTGGTTATAATTATCATATGGAGTATCTTGTTGCCTCCATTATCTTAACTTTTTAAACTTAAAGGCTAAAGTAGGAATTATTGTTCTTGTTTTGCTTTATCTGATATTTCTAGTTTTGTAAAGTTGCTATAAGATATTGCTGATTTGTCATTCTGCAGGTTCCATTTACATAAGATGTGCCACCAGAAGTCCTAGTGGACTTGAGGATACAGAGCTGTGCTGCAGGAGTTTGTTTTGCAGCATTTAGTTTTTTTTTTTGTATGATCTGATAAAGAAATCTCTGGAATTTAAATCTGATCAAGACTGAAGACATTCTGCACGTTCTGCATCTCTTTTTTATTTTAATACCAAACTCGTTTTATCAAAATGTCAATTCTGTGCGAGGAAGAAACAAGAAATCCAGGGTTTTATGTTGCATGAAACAAGATTTGCTTTGTGCACTGAAACAACCAATTCTCTGAAGTGCCAGGAAATATAAAAACTAAATTGAATTTGATCCCTTTAAAACCCTCTGTTGGACCCTTTTCTGTCCCTTTGGAAACTTTAATAGAAGTTTTACCTAATGTGAACCGACAGTAAAACCTCCACTGGGTCCATCATTTCTCATGAAGATTCATATGTAACATGCACCGGCATGTTTGACATTTTCATTTAGCTAGTTTGTACAGCTGGGATTGGACCACCAAGGCCACCATCGTGTCCAGACTGGGCAGGAACCTTATGCACGTCCTTCTGTTTGGGTCCAGAGGAAGAATTTGCTTGTTCCACCACATTTTAACATTTAGCTACCATTCTACAGATCTTTTGCTACTTTTATTTTTAGTTACCATTTTGCCACTTTAACTTTGACCAGACCTAATGTAACTTATAGTGTTTTGCTACTTTTAGCATTTATTACCTTTAGGTTTTAGCTTTTTTTTTTTTTTTGCTTCATTGAGTTTTGAGCTAGCGTAATGTTACATTTAACATCTAGCTAGTGATTTGCTACTTTCAGTTTTAGCTATGTTTTGCTACATTTAGCATACTTTTTGGCCAGTGTTTGGCAATTTTTATCATTTAGTTAGCATTTTACTACTTTTCAGAGTCAGAGTCAGAGTTTCTTTATTGTCATTCGCACCTCATGTGGTACATGTGGTGGAGCAAAATTATGTACATGGGGTCCCAGTTACATCCAACAATAAAATGTATAAGAAAAACAGTAATAACATCTAAGATATGAACTAAGAAAAACATCAACTAAATATACACTAAGCACTCATAACATAAAACATTGAACATCAGCACAAACATGAACATGAGTCTGTGAGCAGATGTGCACGCATGAACACATCAACATTGAAACAGATCAGCAGCAACGTGAAACAGATCAGCAGCAACATGATATGGTTTTTCACAGTGATTATTCTAGTTAGAGATTCATGAGTCTAACAGCCTCAGGGTAGAAGCTGTTCCTCAGTCTAGTGGTTCTACACTTAATGCTCCTTAACCTCCTTCCTGAGGGGAGTGGGGCAAAAAGTGTGTGTGCTGGGTGGGTGGGGTCCTTCATGATGCAGGTGGCCCTCTTCCTGCATCTGGAGGTGTAGATGTCTGTGATGGTGGGGAGACTGACTCCGACAGACTTCTGTGCAGCCTTCACCACTCTCTGCAAAGCTTTTCTTTCTGCAGCTGTGCAGCCTCCATGCCACACATTGATGCTCGAGCACAGGATGCTCTCCACTGCACACCTGTAGAAGGAGGTGAGGACTGAGCTTCCCAGACCAGCTCGCCTCAGCCGTCTGAGGAAGTAGAGTCTCTGATGAGCTTTCTTGATCAGGCTGGTGGTGTTGTTGCTCCAGCTGAGGTTGTCATTCATGTGTACACCCAAGTACTTGTAGCTGGAGACCACTTCCACCGCAGATCCTCTTATGTTCAGGGGGGGTGTAGGTGTTTTTGTTCCTTCTGAAGTCCACAATCATCTCCTTTGTCTTCTTCACATTGATGTGAAGGTTATTCTCTCTGCACCAGCTCTCCAGGTGTTCCACCTCTTGCCTGTAGCTGGACTCATCATTGTTTGTGATGCATCCCACCACCGCTGTATCATCTGCAAACTTTACAATGTGACAGCCTGGATGGGTAGCTGCACAATCATATGTGAGCAGAGTAAACAGAAGGGGGCTCAACACACATCCCTGAGGAGAGCCAGTGCTGAGGGTTATGGTGGAGGAGGAGAGGTTGTGGATCCTCACTAACTGTGGTCTGTTTGTTAAAAAGTCTAGTACCCAGTTGCAGATGGAGGGGCTTAGTCCTAGTGTGGATAGTTTGTCCATCAGGGTTTGGGGGATCATGGTGTTGAAGGCGGATGTGAAGTCCACAAAGAGCATACGGACGTAAGAGTTTTTCTGCTCCAGGTGGTTGAGTGCAGTGTGGACCACAGAGGAGATTGCATCCTCTGTTGATCGGTTCTCACGGTATGCGTACTGATGAGGGTCCTCGTTGATGTTGATGGTTGTTTTGATGTGAGTCATGACCAGTTTTTCGAAGCATTTAGCGACTATCGGGGTGAGGGCCACTGGCCGATAGTCATTCAGACCAGTCACTGTAGAGCTTTTTGGGACTGGGATGATGGTGGCAGTCTTCAGGCAGGTGGGAACCGTCTTTTGGAGTTGAACTAGTGTTTTACTACAATTATCTAGCCCTTTGCTACATTTAGCTTTGAGCTTGTGTAATGATATTGAAAGATTTACCTTGTGTTCTAATGGTGTGAAGCACAGTCAGCAACGCGATCAATTCTATCTCAGAAGGTTTACTTTAAATTACACATATAACATACAAAATCACCAGCGCTGGCCCAAACTGGAACCACCACTTGGACACAACAAAATGGCTCCGAGCATCAGTTATTGCACACCTTTCTTCAGAACAGGCCACACCTCCCAGAAGTAGTCGCCTCCGCTGACGTATTGGAAGGCTCTATATTACATCATGTGACCAGTTCTCAACCAATAATACCTCATCATCTAGGAGTGTATATAGACTCAATTTTCTACTGGAAACAAAATAAATAAAAAAAAATCTTCCTTGTTTTAACACATTAAATCATACTATGAAAACTTTTATTACAGTCATACATTTCAGTAAGCTAATATATCATTCTGATAAAAAATATACTTCAGTATTTTTCATTTTCAGCCTTAGCTACTGTTTAGCTAAATTTATTTTTTAGGTAGCCTAATGTTACTTTTAAGGTTTAGCTAGTATTTTGATGCATTTAGTTTTTAGTTAGCATTTTAATACTTTTAGTTTTAGCTGGTGTTTTACTACTTTTAGTTTGTATTTCTTACTTTTAACGTTTAGCTAGCATGTTGCTACCTTTGGTTTTATATTTTGCTCTATTATCTTTTAGCTAGCCTAATGTTATTTTTAGCATTTTGCTAGTGTTTTGCTACATTTAGCTTTTAGTTAGAATTTTGCTTTCTTTAAATTTTAGGGGCACGGTGGCGCAGCTGGTAGAGCCACTGCCTCTCAGCGACCAGGTTGCGCCGGCTCAAATCCTGGTCCATGGACCTTTCTGGGTGGAGTTTGCATGTTCTCTCCATGCATGTTTGGGTTTTCTCTGGGTACTCCAGTTTCCTCCCACAGACCAAAAACATGCATGTTAGGCTGATTGGTAACTCTAAATTGTCCCTAGTTGTGAGTGAGAGTGAATGGTTGTTTGTATCTATGTGTCCCTGTGATGGACTTACAACCTGTCCAAGGTGTACCCCGCCCCTCGCACAGTGACTGCTGGATATGGGCACCGGCGACCCCCGTGACCCAAAATGGAAGAAGCGAGAAAAGATACTGGATGGATGGATTAAATGTTAGCTAATATTTTGCTTCACAGTGTGATAGATATGATTTTATTTACCTCCTCTTTCCTCTCGTTTCCTTTTCCTTATCTGACAAAAAAAAAAAGGGCAGTGCCTCTCATGAGGCTGCAGCCTCAAACACTCCGTCTCCCATGTCTATGTTGTTTGGTTGTTTGTGTTTCTTTGGACAGGCTGTACTGAAATGTAATTTTGCTTCTATGCAATGACAATAAATTCTGATTGCCTAATGTTACTTTTAACTTTTGTCAAGTGTTTTGTTACTTTTAGCTTTTAAGTAGCATTTTTTTTTTTTTGCTTTTGGTTTTTAGGTTGTGTTTTGCTACCATTAGCTGTTAGCTAGTGTTCTGCTTCTTTTAGCTTTAACACATCAGTTTTAGCTTTTACAGCAAATTTCAGCAGCCATTCAGCATGCAACATTCACATTGTCCTTTTCCAGTATATATATATATATATATATATATATATACATATACACATATATATATACATATATATATATATATATATATATACATACACACACACACACACACACACACACACAAAAGACCCAAGCTTTAAGCTGAGTCCCTTTAACACAAATGTATGAAGTCAAATCCAAGTGGGGCTCCTGCGACCCAGATTCTGGACCTGTTTGGCTGACAGGACGTGAGCGGATGAGCAAAAGGTAAACAAACATATGGAAGAAAACAACGATGTGGCAAAAACAGGTGGAACTTTTCATTATCTTTTTGACCACCGTCCAGTGGTACAATCTTACACAACAGGGCTGAGGTCAGTGATCACGGCAGAGAGCAGCAGGTGTTTTTGAAGCTGATACACGATTAAATAATCCATTGTCTGAACGGGTTAATCTGGTTCAGGTAAAAGTTTTTTACACAGTTTCCAGCACAGTTTATGAACAGTTCCTGACGAGTCCTCTGAGACTAACTGATTATTACCAGAAGGTACTCTGAGTCGTGTAACCTAAAGTTTCCATTTGTTTGACAAACAAGCCAAGTCCACGGAGAGCAGCTGGCCGGGTCTCCTCGGGACTTCATGTCTGTTCTGCGTCAGTAAACAGGACCATGCAGGGCTGGAACAAAACCAGCCCAAAACAAACTCTCTGCCTCTGAAGCCAGACACAGCGACAAAAAAACCCAAAAAAACTTTGACCGTTGTGTGTGTGTGTGTGTGTGTGTGTGTTGCATCTTTCTTCACTTTCCAGTTCAGAACTATTTGCAACAATTTGCAATTTTCAGTTGTGGACAACAAGCAGTATGCCGATGTCCCCCGTCTGAGGGATTTGAATAGTGAATGTTTGTAGTTTTCAAGGTGAGTGTTTTTGCTTTAGTGGAACTGAACAGGGAATGCAAGTAAACCTTAATGTTTTTGGTGCAAGAAATTCCAGTGGAGTTGCCATGTATAAGATTAGAAGTACCTGTAGTTTTTTTTCCTTTGCTTGTCCAAGGTGGCACAGAACGATTGGCGAATGGAGGGAGCAATGTTATCCACAACCAGGCACACTAACGGAGCCAGGGGGTGGCCAATGGAGGCCTTGGCTACCAAATTCATCTTCGGCCACCCCAGTCATTTGAGAAAACTATGCTTTTGTCACAAGAACGGAGTGGGGTGAACAACTCAGACACAATAAGGTCAATTCAGTGCTTTTATTTACAGTGGATGGAAACTCAGGATTAAACAGGACTGCTGGGGAGCAAGGAGATGGTTTATGTCCAGAGTTCAACAAAGGGGGGTTTCTCAGAACGTGCAGGTTCCTTACTGGTGGTGGATAGTTTGTTTGGTTCCAGAATCCTTTACAATCATGAGAAAGTCCAGAGAGCACAGGAAGGCTGTAGAGCAAGAAGAGCAGCTGAATGGGGCACAGATAAGGTTCCAGAGGTTCACGAGGAGATCCAAGCACACTGGTAGGTCTCAGGAGGATGACTGGAAAGAGCAGATAAAAAGGTAAGTGTCTACAAGGCTCTAGAAACACATGGAGGGCTGAGAGCACGAACCATAGGTGGGGTAATGCTCCAGCGTTGAAGGAGTGTCTTCGTCTGCCCTGGGACCTTATCAGGAACATGTTGTCTGCAGATGTGGGAGTATGGCGCCCTCTGGTGATCAAACTCTGGAACTCCCACAACTTTTAAGCAATAAACTAACAAGCATAGTTTCCTCAAACGATCAGGGTGGCGGGTTTACATATGTATGATGGTGGCCGTCTTGGATTTTAATGTAATAACCGACTTTTTGATAGTGACGCCCACGTCTTGATGCAGCCATACACCAAAATGGAAGTCAGGACGTTACTTATTTTCGAAGTTAGGTGGCTTAAAAGGTTTACATATATACACAAATGGCAGCAGCCATCTTGAATTTTGACGTGGCAACCCAGTTTTCAATAGAGAACATTTTTATGCCTAAATGTAGCTACACATGAAAATCGAAGTCAGTATTCCACTTGTTTTTCAAGTTCTCTTGCTCCCAACACAGACAGACAAAATTTACAATTTCCAGTGTTGCATCTTTTAAACTTTTCCACATTTGATCTCAATAAAACCATGAACTTCACAGTATTTTGCAGGAACTTTGCATCATAGACCAGCAGAAAGGAAAGAAATGAAAAGCTTTCAGTTTGTTTTTCACAAATAAAAACCTGGAGAGTGTGGCCTACATTTGTATTCAACCCTCCATGACTCCGTGATTATCCTGAATTTTGCTTCATCCATCTCCCCCCAATCAGATTCCCTGTTCCTGAGATGATCGAAGCTTCAGATATTGTTTTATATCTAAACCCTGCTTTAAATTTCTTATCAATTTTATGTTCTTTGGTCTTCTTGATGCTGTTTGACCACTAATGTTTTGTAATACATGTCTGAGGCCCATCACATCACATCCCAGTAAAAAGTTTGTAGTTGTAATGTGTTTTATGTTATTAATAAAATGATTGTTAATAGCCAGGTGCTCTGAATCTGATTAAAGATCAATCATCTGGTTGAACAGTGTCTGGTGTTCTCTGTAAGACATTTACCTTTTTTACTTGATAATAATGAGAGTAAATTAGAGGATGCTGCTCTTTTGCCCAAAGCTTGATGAATGTTTTCTAAGACAAAAAAAAGAGTGAATACAAGTTCAACTTTAGCTTTTCTCTACCCCCACCCCACCCCCCCACTGGAGTCTGTCACTAATGAGGACCCCAACACTTAATGATGATAGCGACACATCTCTGGAGCTTTCAGGGACCAGTGGACCAATTGGAGAGTGGCCCCAAACATCAGTAAAGGAGGAAGAGGTTGTGAAGACGCTTCATGATGAGGAGAAGAGAAATCTGAGCTCCTCTGGCTGATGAAGACTCTGGTGAGAGTCGAGCATTGTGCATGCTGTTAGACTTTGCTGCCGTCAGTTTGGTTTAATTTAATTCCTTTAATATTGAGGTTTAAGCCGTGTTTTCTCGATCACCACGATGCAGAACCTGACGGCGCTTCCCAACAATGCAACCTCACAAAAAACCTCCGTGATCGTCAAAGTGTGTGTGGTCACCCCCCTCTTCTGCGTCTTCCTCTGCTGCGTTGCTGTCATGCTGCACACCTTCGCCTCTCACAGGCACTTCTTGGACACGTCCCGGTACATCCTGTTCGCTCACATGCTGATCAACGACACCCTGCAGATCCTGACCTCTGTGCTGCTCTTCCTCAGCATCATGGGTCAGCTCAGGTTTGCCCTCCTGCTCTGCGTCCCTCTGCTCTTCGTGTCCACTGGCACCTTTCATAACACAAACTTGATCCTGGCTGCCATGTCACTGGAGCGGTACGTCGCCATCGTCTACCCCCTGCAGCCCCCGGCTTTCTGGCGCTCGGACAGGATCTGGGTCATCACTCTGTGCATGTGGCTCATCAGCTTCACCTTCCCCGTCGCTGAGTTTTGCATCAGGAGGCAAGACCCTGCTGTGAACGTCCTCTCCACCCCTGTGGTTTGCAAAGCTTCTGTCATCAACTCGTCCCCAGCGCAGGCCCTCTTCAGAGCTGCAGTGAGCGTGCTCTACTTTGCGGTGGTGGCTGTCATCATCCTCTTCACCTACGTGAGGATTCTGCTGGAAACCAGAAAGCTGCGGCAGGACAGGGCGTCCGTGAGCAAAGCCCTGCACACGGTGCTGCTGCACGGCTTCCAGCTGCTGATGTGCATGCTGGCCTTCACCAGCCCCTTCACCGAGACCCTCTTCGTTCTGCACACCAACTGGCTGCCGGAGGACATCGCCTTCTTCAACTACTTCTGCTTCATACTGGTCCCACGCTTCCTCAGCCCGCTCATCTACGGCTTCAGGGACCAGGGCCTCAGGAAACACATCTGGATCCCGTTTGTCTGCGACCCCAAGAAACAAGTGAAACCTCACCTCAGACACTGACTCGCTCTGACAGAAACAGAATTGTTCACGCGACACTTCGGTGTGGTTATTTTGAAATAACGCATCAATAAGAGCACAAATGGGTTTATTGCTGTAAATGCAGCATTTTGTGTCCCTCAGAGACAAACATGTGAAAATGAGGAGAATGTTGTAAAAAAAGGTGCTCATCAACTATCAGATCTGACTCCTTTCTGGAAAAACATTGATTTTTTTTAAAAAGCACAAAAGCAACATTCACTTTTCAACTGACTCATTGATTTCTTGGGGTCTTACAGAAAATGAAAGTTGTGCGTGTGAGCTATCAATTGTATCTTGTTTTGCATGTGAAACTCTGAGATTTGTTGTTACTGTTCACCAAATCCCCTCTAAATAAAATAAAGTAATATAAAATAAATGTATATGTCTCCAATTATAATCCTAGAAACAGTACAAGAATTTATTTTTTGCAAAACATAACACAAAATTGAAATGAGGTTAAAAGCCATTCTGGTGTTAATATCCGAAAAGGTTTTTTTTTTTTTTAAAACCTCTTTACTTGGTATATAAAAAAATGAAAAAATTGAGTCTGACAGATGAGTAGGTGTTTTTCTCACAATCGTATTTTTATGTGACAAACTCTAAAAGAAACTAACAGATTTCCATTTACTGCATCCAACTGCATCTTCAGATAGAATTAAATGTTGTGGCAAATATCATCTAAAACTTGTACTTTAATGTCGTGAGGTTTGATTTTGACAATTTACAGGCACAAAACTTTAAAAACCAAGTATCTGTCCAATAAATAGGATGCACTGATTTGACCTTTTGTTCCCTGCGTGACGCAGATGTGACTTCTGTGTCATGGCGTGCAGAGGTTTTGCAGACAGGTCAACATTTCTTTTGCAGATCTGTGTCTGTTAAACATAAACCAGGTTGAATACGTTTGTGAGCGATGAAGGTTGCTCAATGCTGCCAGTGGAACTGAGGAGAACGCAGCCGAGAGGCTCCTTCTGCTAAATATGAGGTGAAGCTGTGACTTTATTTGAGCCTCCTTTAACCCACCTATTTCAATCTTTTAAAGAGTTTTCTTTTTTTTATTATTTTAAAAAGAGGATTCTGGGATGTCTGAATGAACTTGTCCAGGTTGTAAAACTGAAAATCTTTTGGGTTAACTTTGAAAATAATCACGTTTTATAAAGAAAATGTTTTTTCTGTGTTCAATAAAATACGCATGTGGTGAAATAAAATGCAAATAAAACTTTGCATTAAAAGAAGTTGCATCAAGTTTTATTTAGAATAAATGCCACTTTTCAGGTTTTATCACTAATAATAATAATAATAAAAAAACTCCATGCTTTAATTATTTCTTTGTGCAATTCCAAGCATCATATCTATTGTTTTTATCAAATTATTCTTGTTTTTCTTTAAGTCCAAACCTGATAAAACTCACTTTCAGCAGATAAATCCTTATTTGGCACGATTTGATTTGACATGGCTGTTTAAAATATGACTATAAAAACATTAAAAATGCACCCAAATAAACAGTAAAACCCTAAAAATCATCAAAATTTCATGATAACAGCAATCCAGTGACAGAAAAGGAGGATAATCTTGTGCACTTTTATCCTTGTGTTCACTTTCAGAATGTTTTATTGCTGTATATAAAAATTAAATTTATCAACTCATGTGAAAATTTCAGCTTAAATATATCTGTAATTAAATGTTTTTATATTTACCCACATTCATCACACACATGCTCACAGATATTTAGTTAATTGTGATTGATCATATCAGGCTTTTCTTATAGAAATTGTTTGTATTATTTGAAATGTGTTTTAAATTGAAAACATCTCATTTAAATGCAGAAACGAAAGGTTTAAATTTTTAGTTTGTTTTGGAGTTAAACGTTCGTCTGAATTTAAAACCTGTTCTGGTTTTAAAAATAAAACATAAGACAGTTTTGTGTGTTTCCAGGCAGCAGGCTGTGTTTTATTTTGTATAGTATTTGTGCCGTTTTAGGTTTAACAAGATCTAATTTCAAAAATAAATCTGCTTAAAATCTGCTTCATATTTCAAATAGCCTTTTCCTCTGGCTCCTGTTGCTCATTTTAAAACTATTTATATTGAAGCAATAAGTGAACAAGTTTATTTTTTTTAACTTTCTTGGTAAAATATACGTCAAAATTAAACCAAATAAATCAACACCTTGTCTTTCCAGGCCCTTAAAGAATCCAAGTGTCCATAAGTATTTGCTTTAACTGTACATTAATCCTACATATCGTGAATATTAGTTTCACTTTTGTCCTGTAATGGGGAACCATTTAAAACATACACTTACAGACCACAATAATAAAGTTTACAACTCAAATCTTGTATTTTATCTTTGCAATATTAAGTACAACATATTATTACCTGTTTTTGAGAAAATTATTAAAAGTAAGTAGTTTGTTTATAAAGCACATTTCACGGATAAAAATCACAAGGAAATAAAAAAAAACATAAAAGTATAAAACCGTCTGTAGAAATAAGATTTAATGTATTTAGGTGTTGTGTGCGGTCTTTGCCTGTAGGTGTCGCTGTTACCTCAAATTTTATTCACCATACGCGCTCAGAGCTGAACAAAAATAAAACCTATTTTAACATATTTGTTTTTAAATAACCACTGAATAAAACACGGTAACATTATTAGCTCCAGGACATATTTTACAGCAGATATATGAAACTAAGTATCCTGTCTGAATCCAAGCTGCAGAGGAGAAATCTGATCCCAGATCAGCAGAGATCAGTTGGCTCCTCGGAGCTGCTCAGAACTTCAGAGATGAAGAACCCTCCGTGTCTGTACTTAATCTGGACTCTGGTTCTGATCGGTCGCTGCTGGGGAGAAATGTTTACATCTCTGCAGAATGTGAAGCAGGCGATCCGATCTGAACGGAAACTGATCGATTACCTGAGGACTTATATCGATCAGGAGTCAGAGAGACTGCAGGACGTCAGGCGGTGAGTGCACAGGTCCAAATAAAATAATGTTTGTAATTAAAACTTACATTTCCTGTAGATACTCTGTGAATCCAAGCATAATGCAGATTATAATTTTTTGGAACAACCTTTGGTACTGTTTTAAAATATAGTGTGGTATGTACAAGTATGTACATTGGTATGTACCTGGTACAAACTGGGTAAGTATATAGTACTTAACCAGGTAAATATTTGTTACTTATAGGGTAAGTGCTTGGTATTAAGTAAGTACCTACACTTGGTAAGCACCAGGTACTTACCCAATACATGTGGGTACTGGGTTTGTGCCATAAGTGCCCAGTATATATCATTTAAGTAACATACCTCGTACCTGGTGCATACCAGATATGAAAACAGTATGTACCAGGTATAAGGGCCAGGCATGTATCCTGTAAATACCTAGTATGTAGTCTGAAGGTATGTACCCTGTAAATAGCAGGCAAGTTCCATTTAAGTACAAGGTATTTATCCTGTATAAAGTATCTATCCTACATACTACATATATGCATTTTGTATTTACCAGATATGTACCTTGTAGGTATTAAGTACGTACCATTCAAGTACAAGGTATGTACCCTGTAAATACTGGGTATGTATCCTGCATGTACCAGGCATGTACAGTGTATTAACCCTGTATCCTGATCCATGCTCAGCCCAGGTCTCTCTTGTATATGAGTCCTCGTGGCTCAATGGGACTAACCTGTTTAAATAAAAGTTGAATGAAAATAATAATAATAATAATAATCCAGGTAGATAAATCTAACAAAGTTAAGTCAGGTCCTCAGGACAGATTCTTCTTGTTGAAACATTTCATCTTTTATCCAAAATACTTTTGCAGTCTGAGGAGCTGCACGACTCAATCTTGTGAATTACATCTTCTCATCATGGATCAGCCAGTTTGCTGGTGAAAGCCAAACTAGCTGTTCACATGCAAAAGGAGGCCCATCAGCCCAACAACCCTGATGGCCACTTGTCTGGGTCTGGCTTTGTGCTCCTCCTTTTCACCTGATGACTGGCCGGAGCGGTCATTCAGTATGTTGCTGTTTTTTCAGAGAAACTGAGGCGTTTATTTTCTAAACATAACGTCCCAGTGGCTTTCAAACTCCAAAATACATTACAGCAAAGACTGGTTCATCTCAAAGATCCAGTCCCCCGGCACAAACAGAGTAATATTGTGTATGCTGTTCAGTGTCAGGAGGGTGACCAGTCTTACATCAGGGAAACTAAACAGCCACTGGCCAAAAGGATGGACCAGCACAGAAGATCAACATCATCAGGCCAGGACTCTGCGGTCTACACTCATCTCCAGGCCAGAGGTCACTCATTCAGGGATGAAGATGTTCACATCCTGGACAGAGAGGAACGATGATTTGAGAGAGGAGTAAAGGAGGCCATCTTTGTGAAGAGAAACCGTCCATCATTATATAAGGGTGGAGGCCTCCATGTCCGACTGTCCCCTTCTTATGCTGTTATTACAAGTATCACTCAGCCCCCTGTGAAACCAGTCACTAGGGAGAACAAGGCAGTCTTGTGCCAGTCCCAGGTAAATGGTGAGGTTTGTGTCAGGAAGGACATCAGATGTAAACACTTTTGCCAAAACTATAACGTGAGTTCATCAAAGTGAGATGATCAGAGTGAGATGATCAGAGGTTCAGCACAGGTTGATAAAGTTAGAGAGGCCGGACTGAGGTGGTTTGGACATGTCCAGAGGTGGGACAGTGGGTATATTGGTAGAAGGATGTTAGAAATGCAGCTGCCAGGAAAAAGACAGAGAAGATATCTGGATGCAGTTAGAGAGGACATGGAGGGAGTTGGAGTGAGGACAGAGGATGCAGAGGACAGAGATGGAGGAGGATGACTCGCTGTGGAGACCCCTGAAGAGGAAAAAGCCAAAAGAAGGAGAAGACTCAGCCCTCTGTGAATAGCAAGCAGCCATCAAGTCGTTAGGCGGGTGGTTCTCCTTTTACTACATGTGAGCAGCTGATTCTGGATGTCACCAGTAAACTGAGTTTGTTGCAGCTCCTCAGACTGAAGAAGTCTCTTGGACTAAAGACAAAACGTTTCAACTCAACCTTGTTAGATATTTACTCTGTAAGTACTTGGCTGTTTTATGTATTCCTACCATACGTTTCTATATCTGCATCCCCATCTTTCCCACAGTTTTTATGCCAAAGTGTCGGACCTGCACACAGAACTGTACGAAGAGTCTGCAGCAGCAGTGGGGAACCCGTTGGTGGCCTTCACTCTTATCAAACGTTTGCACTCAGAGTGGCTAAACGTGGTTTACAGCAACGAAGCTGAGAGGAACGCAGAAGGTCGCCTCTTTTCCTCTCTTCCATCTGCACGCACATCTCAAACTCTCTTCCTCGCGAGTTTAAACTTTAACTCTCTGCCGTCCAGCACTCAGGTCCGGTTATGAGGAAGTGCAGGCTGACCTGCCCAGAGTGGAAGACCTGCGGGGGGCTGCGAGGGGGCTGATGAGGCTGCAGGACGTCTACGCTCTCCAAGTTTCAGGTCTTTCCAGAGGAAGATTCCAGAGAGTCACCAACGGGGAAGTGATGAACGTCTGCCTTCCTGCCGTGTCTGTCCCGCTGTCCGGAGATGACTGCTTCCTGGTTGGAAAGGTGAACCGTTGATTTCCACTGAAACTGATTGCACTTTTAGACTTTCATCAACGCAGCAGTGTCAGGTGGTTTGTTTGCAATATACAGTTAATATACAGTTAATGTACAGTTAATGTACAGTTAAT